AAACAAAACCAAACGTTGCCTTGTTTGAGCACTAGCAGGCGGCAGGGAATGACCCATCTGCCTGATTTAACTGCATCTTTGCAATGGGAAGCACAGGGGAAGATTTGGAAAGATAGGACTGCATGTGGGTATCCAGGCTTCTCTCTCTAGTCAAGCAATTTCTTGCTCTACACACACTGGCAGCTATGAAGCTGGTGGGACTCTGCCCCAGTCAGCAGTGAGCTGACATCTTGGGCTTGAACGAGGGTCCAGTGAGAACTGGGCATTGGGAAGTCTAGGGTATGAACAGTTTGTTTTTTTCCTTAAAAAAAGTGGGTTCCTACTTGAAGTGCTGCTTTAGAGATGGATGCTAAGTGAAGAGTTCAAACCCAACCTAGGAATGCCAGAGAAATCTGCAGGACAGGATAGACTAGGGAAGCTTTGCCTGCACTTGCTTGTTCCTCTGTTACAGCTGTATACAGCACAAAGTCCTGTTAAGACACAAGACAAGAGACTATGAAGCTGATTGGAGTTTCAGGAAAAGGAGCCCTTTAAAAGATTCCAAAGTATAGGAAAGATGATTGCTGGGCAGCAAACCTTTACTTGCAGCTACAGGCTGATAATGTCCTTTCCTAACACCCTCCTAAGTTTGCATCTTTCTCAGAGCCTAAGAACCCTGATAAAAAGACTGCTGATGCAGCAGGGCCAGATCAGGAGAGAGTCTGAACAGCTACTGACAGGGTGGCAAGGTAACAGACTGCACAGTATGATGCCCCTCAGCACTCTCACCCCTCTGAGATAGAAAGCAAATTCGCACAATATTTAGTGATTCTTACTCTATTTGTGTCAGGGAGGTGACTGGCAACAGTTGGACTATTAGGGTTTACAGCAACTTAGCGTTTTCAGCTTGGACCTATTACTGACAAGGAAAAGCTGATTCAGTTCAATGGAAGAACAGAAAGGGAATGAAAGCTGGAAAGCTGTAGCCACTGAATTGGGCTGTGCTCAGAGCCATATAGCACAGCGTGTGCATAGCAAGTTCCGTCTGTCTGTTGATACATACACACTGTGTGCGCACAGGCCCCTCTGTGCACATATGTTTTGATCTTAGCTTTGTACTATCAGCTCCAGGAGTTGGTCCAACAAGCTCTGGCTGTGTTTCCATTCAAATACTGTACAAGATACATACTAGTATGAAGTTTGTGTTTACAACAGGATGATGAAAAGCGAGGGGTAGTTTTCATCTTTTTCTGCCTGTCAGTAACATAATTAATTCAGGTTTTAGCCCTAAATAATCCCCCTAATCTGTCAGATCACAGATTATGAAACATGAAAGTGATGAGCCTGGAGCTACCCAGAAGCAAATCAATGCTTAGGATGAAAGACTCCAGATTTAAAGACAGGGAAAGCTCAGTCACGTGGGGGTTAGGCGTTGTCAGAAATGTCCTGACTGCAACAACTGGAAGCAAGGGGCAAGTGGTCAGTTCTTGCAATGCTATGTGGTGGTTTGGGGCTGCTTTTTCCCCACGACAGATGGAAGGACTTGTGCAGCTTCTTAGCAGCAGAGTCATAAGGCCACAAATGGTAAAAAACTAGGGAAGGTCTGAAGCAAGCCCCTCCCTTGGCAGGAAGGAGTTTGGCAGCACTAGTGTGAGCAAAACTGCTCAGTTAGTCCACCCAGGACATTACTTGGTGCTTATTTGCAATTACTGTCATGTTAGTAATACAGAAAGCATCCAACAAAGTATTTTCAGAACCAGAGGTTTAACAAGACATTGAAACAGAAGAAATGTGTGCAGCCACAGAGGTATGGGAATAATTTGAAGGCATGGGCTCTCTTGCAGGGCCCAAAGCTGCCATCCACAGCCCCACCTACAGCCTCCTCCTTGAGACATGTTCCAGCTCACTCTGCTTGAAGGAAAAGTTTCCTGAAGAAACCATCTTGTTTCTCTTTTAGCAAAAGGAACTAGAAAAGGAGCTCTTATTAGCACAGTCAGAAACAGATCAGGTGCTTCAACAACACTTCAACACCACAGCCTCCGCTGGCACGTGGGGAGCGCCTTCAGAGGATCTGGCCACATACAGCCAGTGCCGTTCCTTAAGTTTGTTTGTGGTTCTTGCTGTTTGTTCAGGGTTCCAAGTTATCCTCTAGCAGGAAAGACTTCCCACTGGTTTCTGGCTCGTTTGCTATCCCACATTCATATCTCTGTGTTTAGCACTCTGAGCTGTATGTGATTATCAGCTTGGTTTTTGATTAACAAGTTGGCTGAAGCTAAATGGCTGCCAGAAAGACTGGTGTTAATGTCCTAGGGATAAAGATGGTGTTAGGTTGGAATTCCTGTTCACTCTTACCTCATTCATAGACTTTCAGGAATCTATATGAATGTGTTTTGGTTACTATATAAAAGAAAAAATCCCAAAGGATCAATTAAGGTTTCCTTCCTTTAGAAAGAAGCAATTCAAACTTTCTGATTATTCTTCTGTCTTACAGTACCTTGGGGGATGTTGCACCAAAACAATGTTGCTTTGCTTTCAAAATATATTTAAAGGTTTTGTAGGCACCTGAGGCCCATATTCAAGGTGTCTTGGTTTTGTTCTAGCTTTGGATTATGTGTCAAAATTTCTGCATCTCAGTGATGGAAAATATTATTCCTCTTCCATGCACGGTGAAGTGGGTTACCATGGGTGTGTTGTGCTGCTGGGATTTGTCTGAGCGTAGGATCTTGTATCTGCCTGCAAGTGACTCTTCTCTGGTGTTTGCAATTGCTTTAGAGCAATCCTGCTGCAGATACCACCTTCCAATCCAGTTCTGCTTTCCCACTCTCACAACTTTCATTTGCAGACTGAAGTAAGCTTGTCTTCCTTTAAGCTGAAAGAATTGCACAAGTGCAGACTTCACCCTTATCACCTCGTATATTCCTTCTTCTTTTTTTTTTCTCTTTTCTTTTTTAATAACTTCTCATTAGAGAAAACAGAGACAGAAACTGGGACAGTAGGAGACTTAAGTCCCATGTTTACCTACTAGTTGCTCGCTTTTCTAGCTGTTCTAAAACCTGCTGTCTGGCACCTCTGCTGCAGCTTGTTCCTCACTGGACTTGGATTTAATCAGGACATGTTGCTATCACTGGAAGTTATTAGCCATTTCACCTTCCTGAAAGCAAGAGCTTTCTTGACAAGAACCTAGTAATGCCACATTTCAAATGCCTTTCAAACAGTCTTTAGCCCAGATAAGACTTGAAGAGTGAAGAGGCAACAAAAAGCAACTAATCCACTTAACTGCCAGTGGAAACTTCACCAGCGAAAAGAGCAAGTTATTTTCTGGAATGACTTCTCTGCAGTCAGATACTGGGGATTTCCAACAGCTGCACAGTCCTCTCTGCCTGTGTTTTCTAGTAATGAATACTAACGATCCTTCACTTCTATTTTAATTGCCTGCCTATCAAGCTTTGTTAATCTTCCCCATTTTCCTTAATCTTTCATCAAGTGTCAATTTTTTTTTCTCTGTTTCTTCTGTGTTGACAAGGCATTTAAGCATTTTACTAAGCAGGAAAAAAAAAAAAAAGGAAGGAAGGAAGAAAGAATTCCTCCCTTTTACATTTGGAATGCTCATTTTCCAGATTAGAAAATAAGTGGCTGTGGTATCTAATTAAAACTAATAGGTTAGTTAGAGAATATTCAGATCCCCATCCTTCCAAACCAGGAAGACTGTAGAAGTTAGATTGTGTTCATAATCTAAACAATACTTGCAGCAAAGACGGGGTTTCTTCTAGAGAAAAGCTAATAGTGTTTTAGGAGAAATTCAGCAAGTGTTTGATCTGTATTTTGCTGAAGGAGAAAGGTTTTGACCAGCAGAAAGTCATAATCATTGCTGTAGTAAATCTTGCCTACTTCTCTCAATAGTTTCTTGAAGCCATTTTTTTTACCCAATAATCAGTCTTTAAGAGTTAATTCCTCATGAATGTCCCTTAACCACTCAAGGTTCAGCAGTGAGTCTGCTCTGGTGGGTGAAAATGCATGTTACCTCGAAAGCATAAGAGAAGTTGAAACATGGATTGGTTCACTGCAGCAAAATTCAAGATAAATTCAGGTGATGGAGGTATCTGTCAGGACAGAAACAGCCTCCAGCAGAAGTCAAATAGATTTGATTAACACCAAGAGGTTATAGGAGGCCCTCTGTTGGGCCTGGAATGAAGGGGTATCATAGGAGAAGGTCACTTCAATTTGTTTAAGCTCAGTAATGTTTAAGCACAGAAAAAAGCCCATTAAGTTGAGCATACCTGGCTGTTTCCATATGATGATTGCCACCTCTCTCCCGTCTGTGAACAGAGAACTCCAAAGTCCACCTAGATAAGGTCTGTGAGTAGGATTATTCTGTACCCAGCCTGCGTGTCTATGTGCATTTGTCATTAGCTTCAAGTCTCTTTTCTTTTGCCCTTGAGCATCTTTTCCCATGAGCATTTTCATCAGTGAGATTTTCCCTACTGCCCTCCTTAAGATATGCCTCACTGTTTACCAGAACATATTCAGACACTGAAGATATGCTTTATGTTTCAAAGTTGTTTCTGATGTCTGCTGATTTGAGATCTGCATCAGCAAATGAAACCAGGAAGGGACAGAGCGAGAGAGGAAAACAAACAGGCCTAGGGAATAAAAATAACTTTCCGGGCAACATCTAATAATGAAGATTGTCCAGTTATAGAAATCTGATTGTAAAATCAGTTAAGATTCCACTGTTCTTTTTTTGTAACATTTGGATCATGTCAGCTTCCCACCACTAAGAAATTGGATTCTTCTCTCATACTGGGGTAAATCAGGCATGACTGCATAAAAAATGATGGTGCTTCTGGTGTGACAGGTTAATTGAGCCCTAAACACAGCACTCCATAGCACTGTGGAGAGTATCCATCACTGATCATTCAGGCCATGCCATCAGTGCATTTTTTAATAAAAAAAAAAAGTAACATAATTTGAAGCAATAGTAAATTTTTGTTTGAGGGAAAGGGTGCGAGGAGGGTGTCAAATGAGAACTTCTGAAGCCAGCCCAGCTACATCCTCTGCTCCAAAGAAAAGTACAAGAATCCTCATTTTAGAAGGATGCGAGATAACAGATGCTGCATGTCAGGTCTGTTCTTGGTTGCTAGAAGTTAAACAGTGTTTTTAAATGGGACACTAAATACCCCTCCTTAAATGTGGGTTTGTCTCTGAGAAGCGCAGATTCTGCTCCCTTGACAAATTTTGCCGTATTCTGAACTTCCTGCGAGGAGTTCCACAGTTTATGTCCTTATTGTATGAAAACAGTATTTCCACCTACAACTTAGACTTAAGAATTTCTTTGCTGTGTTCTTCCAAAAACAAAGTAACAAAGATTCCTGGGACTCTTAGGCTGAGGCACTGAACTGCCAGCCAAGCAACCTTGATTTTGAGCCATACAGAAACTGAGGGTTACTTTGGAGACAGACATTCAATAGCAATAATTATGCAGATACTGGCAATAATTTAAGTTACAAATCCTGACTGCAACTGACCCACTCTTCGCCTTTATAAACACTTGCCAAAAAGTCCTTGCAGGGAAAAGAACAAGCAAGGGAGCTGAGGAACACCCACCTGCCAGTAAGAACTGGCTGAACAGACTAGCTCTCCCTTCTCCCATCCCCTGCTTCTCTCTGCATTTGAACTTGCTACAGCAACCATTGTGACTAATGAATTGCGTTTCAGTTGTAACTGAACAACCTGCCTTATTCAGCATCAAATCATATGCTGCCTCAGTGTTTACATTGCACTTATAGTTATGTTGCATCAACAGTCAATCTCAGCTCCTGCTGTGTGTTCACATGGATGTGCTCCCGTCTATGTACAAATGCTATGGATAGCTTCGTTTCCCACTTTTTGTGAGGCACTGGAAGTTAACCCAAGAAGAAAGAGGCTCACAGAGGAAGTGGGTCAGCAGGCTCTGCCTTGGCAGCAGCTGGAAGAGGAGTGAACACGCACAATGAGGAGTTGTGGGTGACTGCTATTAAGGACTCTCCATGGAGGAATGTGTTGAATACTGCTAGCAAGACTGCTGGGGAAGTTTGCACAGTCCCTCCCCGTCCTGGCAGCAGAAGCAAAGAAGCAGCCATGCGAAGGAGGAATTCGGTGCAAAAGTGAGAAGCAGGAGGTTTTGAATTCCCTCAGCTGCATATTTAGGATGAGGTGGGTTTTTGTTGTTGTTGTTTGGGTTTGTCTGGGGTTTTTTTTGTTTGGTTTGGTTTAGTGGTTTTTTTGGTTTGTTTTTTTTTCCTTTTTTTGTTTGGTTTTGTTTCTTGTTTTGTTTTTTTTTTTTTCAGACAAATCTGAAGGAGTGTTTGTGGCCAAATCCCTGCTCTGCAGAGTCTGAGCACATGTATCTGCTGTGCATTGATACAGCCTGGACTGAGCACAGGGGTTGATGCTGACAAGCTGCTGGCTTCAACTCATGAGCTCTCACTTGTGAGAGTGAAGTGTATGAAAAAAAAACACCCCATCACCTCAGGATCTCACTGGGATAGAAGTCCTATGGGGAGCAGTGCCTTGTTTATGCACAGTTAGTCCGCCCTGAAAGGCCCCACAGGTAACAGGGATGTATTCTTAAGAACTCCCACTGTTTGTTGCCAACACTGGGGGCCTTTCTGTAGACAGGCAGCTGCTGCTGTCTTGATTAAACCTGCTTCGACCAGCTCTTTAACGAGGAGTTTAAAGCAACAGCAATTACAAGCTCTTAATCCATTGCAACGTGGGAGTGGAAGACTGTTTGCAAACAAAAATAGTTCTTCAAACTGGGCCACAAAGGGAGAATCATGGGAAGAGCAAAGAAACAAAGTAGCTGATAAGGATATGGATGGGTCTGAGAGACTAATACAAGCGGGAAAAGAGCCTTCATCTTGGAGTGCAAAGAATCAGAGGCAGCAGTAACAGCTGGCTTGCATTTTCAGCTGGCGTAGGTCAGCAGAGTCTCAGCCAGTCCAGCAAGTGAACCATAATCATCTAGCAGTGAAAGCCTGTATTTACAGCAAGTTGATAAGCAGACGAGATCTGTGATGCCCCCAAAGAATACACAGAATATTTACATGAAAGATTTGGTTATAGAATTTACTCTTCATATCTGTTTCCAACCCAATTTTTGGTAGTTAAGTTTACCTGGTGCTCTTGTGCCTTTTTATCATGTAAGCATTAATACAAAAATATCTCATGTAAAACGTTAACAGAATCCTTGTGTTGTCCGAGGAATAATGTGTGATGGCAACTAGGAGCTTTTATGAGGCTAAGAAGGCAGGAAAAATTATTTGCTCTACAGTTTGTAAAATTAGTTCTTAGGACTGGAAAATGCAGACACAAGTTAATCTGCCAAACTTCAAACACTCACAGTACTTCACCAGGGACCCAGTTCTGAGCTGTCAGCACAAGAGACACTAAAAAGAAACGGGAGAGAGGAGGTAGAGTTTGCCTTGCTTTGGAGGCTGTTCTGAACTTGTTGTGAGGCCTTAATGGTACAGGAAAGCAAACAGAGGACACAGTAAGTCTGAAAAGTATGTGCCCACAGTGAAAGTAAGGCACATAAAAAAGAGAAATCCTGTCTTGGCTCTTTCTGCTCATTCTTCATCCAACACCTGGACCATAGGGAAACAATATCTTCGGCACTACAGATGTCTTTTCTTGCCATAAAACTTTTTTAATCCCTCTCCACACAAGGAGTTAGCAGTTCTTCATGTACACCTAGGGAGAAAAACCCAACAATCTGCACAGGAAATAGAAAGCCAAGTCCATTCGTCAGGAAATAACAAGAAAGAAGAAAACCCAAAACCCAGGCAAGCTTTGCTTCTTTCATAGTTTCATCATCCATGAGTTCTTACTTCCTGACCACCAAGCAAAGGGAAACAGGAGAAAAAGGGAAACAGGAGGAAAAAAAACAAAGGCATTGTGTCAAGTATCTCCTTCACAAAACCAAGTCAATGTAACATTCAACAAGCAAAGTGGTTTAGTTTCTGGGAGAGGTAAGAAATTTGGATAAATTAATGAAGATTCTGTATTTTAGATATTTAGAAAACATCCAGAATGTGTTTGCACTGATCTTAAAACTCTCTACCACGGACTTTCCCAACCTTCCCAGGGTTTGGGGGGGAAGAGGATTTGGCTGTGTGTTTACCTTTGCTTCCTGTAAAACAAAAAAAGGTGTTTCATTTTATCTTGTTGATACATTGCATTTTAATAGAGGAATGAACTCAAATAAAAATACATGTAAAGGCAGCTCATATAAAAACTGTATTGATTAGTCTCTGTTGCACGCATGTTGAGAAATGAGAAAAAGTCAATAGCCTTAAATCAGAAGGCCCTGTCAGATACCTCCATCTCATCATCTGAAAAGAATGGCACACATTATGCTGGCCGTGCACATGCTTCTTTATAAAAGCCACGACACAAATGCAATTCAAGATAGGGATCAAATAGTAACGGTTAGTACAATTTTAGTACTAGTTATCATATCGCCTAGGTTTTACTGTTTCAAAGGCGAATTCTGCTACTTCTGCTGAATAGGAAAATATAAAACAATGGTAAATTCAAATCATGTCACCAAGACAATCCAAAAGCCTTGTGCTTTTAGTGTAAGGGGTACCTTAAATGTCAAACTCTCTTACAAAGCCCAGAGTTTAAAACAGTGAAGATTAGACCTAAAAGGTAAAAAGTCACCTTCCTGGTTTAGAGTTATTCTCACAACAGCTGAATGTCAGCAGAGGTCTTGGAACAATGCGATACTCACTCTGCTAACCTGCTTCACTTCAGTTCCTAATGTTCTGCATCAGATAGTTCCACAATTAAATCCTTATCAGCCCCACTGGGGCCTGTGTCATAGCCACTTAAGGAAAAAGGAAGGTTACTTTGAGCTCTTCTTTAAAAACTAAATTAAATTAGAAAGTAATCGCAAATTATCATTTATTATCTGCATAACAGATATGGTGTGCGTGTTCTGAGTGCTTTCAAATCTCCCCTGCACTGAAAGATGAGTTCATGCAGTCCAGTATATCTCTGGAAGTCTCTGTGAGGAGGAATACGTTAGAAATTTCCATCTTTATTGCTAGTCCTTTGTTTTTTCTACCTGAATGAATTGTCTAAGCTTTGCATTTATCATATGGTTGTAGAGGCAATTAAAATACAGCTAGAAAGAGATGAGTAGTCATCCTATAAAACACAGTTAAGCAGAAGACAGGATGTATGCCTCTGCTACTTCAGGCAGGATATTAGAGAAGATGGTGTGCTCTGTACTATATCTACTCACATAGGCAGAGACAGGGCTGTTGTCCTGGGGCCTGGCACCCCATGAGTGAGTGCTCTTTAACCCAAAAAAGACCATGGCATGGGATATCACTGCCAGCCAGGAGATGAATGACTGGGTGTAGAGAAAGGATTTGAACAACAGTTAGTGTAAGTGCTACACACAGCATCTAAGCATACGCTCCCTTAACTTAGTATTAAAAGGCTCATTCTTATATATCACAATCCAAATATGAAAGTTACAGATTAAGGTGAGATTATCCAATATAAGAAAACACACACACACCCCTCCAAACGCAAAAGCTACAAAGCTTATTTTTAGCTCAGAATGAAAAAAACAGAGAAGTAACTCCCACCCTCATATTTATTTTTGGCACGAAACCTACCCAAAGCCTCTTCTCAATGGGATTTTAAATGGTTTGGATTACAAATATATGTCAGGAAGCGGCTTCTGCAGTCATCAAGTCTTGCTACAGCAGGGAATGATGTCCTGTGATCCCCACTCATGAATTTCTGAACTCCAGAGTAGAGCACGCCATGAAATAACTAAAGAAACAGCAATGAACTATTGTCAGCAAGTCCATTTGACTTCATTTGTATTATGGAGATAAAGTACGGTAAGGTACACGTTTCTGCCTGCCTGATAGCCTGCACACAGCGTCTAGACTAGGAGAGATATGGAGCTTTGCATCATTTGTACAACTGTGTTTGCTTCATAAAGCCATCCTAGAGGATGGATTAAGGAGAATTTATAATTGCACAAGCCATATAGAGACACTGGCACTTCACTCACTAAGTGCCTCTTCATTACAGTTGAAGTGCCGTGTATTTATCATAGCCATAATTCCCAGATACAAACAGGGAAAGGACTTACTGTGTCCATGCAGAGGAGTTTGATCCACTCTATCATTTTCCTTGCATAAAAGTGTTATCAACTCTAAAGGGACATTCTGGTAAAGACCAAAATCAAATTGCTTCGTGATAGGATAATTTCTACCTGGCTTTGGTAAATGTGAATCTTGCCCCATCCAGTCTTGTGAGAGATTGGATTAGAGTCCTCCAGAGGTTTCTTTAAACCACTAGAAGTTTCTTCTAGTGGTTTAAAGCCACTCTAGTGGCTCTTTAGTTTCTTTGCTGAAACTGATAATGAATAAGGAACTAAGCGTCATACACTAGGCATTGCTGGTAGCCAGGTACACTGAGAACTGCCTACCATGCATTTGAAACGCTTGTACCTATCTCAGTTTGCAAAAGACAGCTGTACTATTCACTATATAACTATTAACCAGACACAGGAAGATAAAGTTTTATTAAATCAGCATCTCCCTGTGCAGATGAAAAAAGCCCAAGCCCAAAAGGTGTGGGGAGTCATTCATCAAATATTTGAAATGTTTCAGGTGTGGAGAATTAAATGGGCCATCAACACAAGGCTGAGCACTCCCACCTCTCTGTCTTTTTCTCCTTTCTCCACTGATTTTTCTCCTTCTTTCACAGGTATTTCTTATGAAGGTTAACACTAGGAAGCATCTTCCAGTTCAGTAATGTCCAGTTTATTATTTATAGCTTTGAGGATATTGGCCAACAAGTTATTGTCTGAAAGGGGACAAGTGGAACACATATTCCTCTAGGTCCTGTATAGCTCTGCTAGTTACTTCTGTGTTTATTTGCCTGTATACAAAGAGTTGCATTCCTCTGATTCTTTAAAGCCATAGTAATTTCTAACCATCTAGTTTGCCAACAGCATTACTCTCACCATCAATAAAACTCCCAGATACCTTTCAACCTCCCCCACTGCTGCTACAGCTGTTGCAGATCCTGAAATGGCATTTCAGCTCTGACTCAGGCAGGATTTCAAATGCACCAGCAGATTTTGGCAAGCAGAGTAATCCTTGCAATACCTACAGTAA